GAATACAAGACTTGGTTAGAATATAGTACAAGCAAAGATACAGCATTTTGTTTGTTTTGTTATATGTATAGACCTCAAAATGGTGAACAGTTTAGCGGAGATAGTTTTGACATGAAGGTTTTTAGAAATTGGAAAAAAAAGTATAGATTTCATATTCATGTTGGTAATATCAATAGTGCACACAATATCGCTAGACGTAAATGTGAAGACTTAATGAATCAAGAAAGCGATATCAGATTTGCTTTTGAAAGACCTTCTGATCAAAATCGTAAAGATTATCGTACAAGATTAAATGCAAGCGTTGATTGTGTACGTTTCCTTTTGTGAATCCGATGATTCAGAAAATCAAAGAAACTTTCTTGAACTTTTGCATTTTCATGCTAGACATAATGAATATATCAATAAATTGTTTTGGAAAACACTCCTAGAAATAATAATCAAATTGAATTATTTTACACTGTTATAGATATGCAACTTCAAGAGCTCAACAACAGATTTGATGAAATTAATACTGAATTACTTATGTGTGTGACATGTTTGAATCCATGTCAAACATTTTCAGCTTTTGATAAAGAACGATTGCTACGCCTTGCAAAATTTTATCCTTCAGATTTTTAATAAATTTATCTCATTATACTAGACGATCAAATTGAGAATTTCATTGCTGATATGAAATTGAATAATGCATTTATGAGTTTAAAAGGACTTGGAGAACTTGCTCAAAAAATGATGGAGACTAGGAAGAATGACATTTATCCTTTGGTGTTCTTACTTATAAAGCTTGCTTTGATATTGCCAATTGCTACAACAACAGTTGAACAAGCCTTTTATGCAATAAATATTATAAAAAATCGTTTACGCAATTGTATGTGGGACTCTTGGATGAATAACTGTTTACTTACTTATATTGAAAAAGATATATTTAATAGTATTGACACCAGCTTGATTGTGCAATGATTTCCAAAAATGAAGACTCGACGGTAGAAATTATAGATGCTAGTTAAGAAGAATCTCAAGAATTATTGTTCTCAATTGTAAGTTTTTTTTGTTTATCATATGTTTAATCTTTTTTATGATGAATCAAATGATTAAAAAAAAAAATTTAAAACTGCCCATACCGATCCCAAGCTTGGATGAAAAAGATTAAGAATTTTTTTACTTCAATTATTTGTGCCCTCACTTAAAAGAAAAATCCTGGCTCGGTACAAATCGCTCAATTCTTTAGTGTATTGGATTTGTTTGAAATTCTTGGTGAAATGAATTATGTTCTGATGCCAAGCAGTTAAAATTCTGCTCGAATCTCCTGCAATCAGATCAGCAACATTTTTTTCTTCGAATGTTGGCTGAAAATTCGTTCGCATGCGCCCATAGATTAATCGCAGCTACCAAATGGTTAATCGTTAAGTACCTGTTATCATCGTTTGTAATCGATCCTCCATCGCCGACGATCCTCGTTAATCTCTGCCAATTCTCAGTTTTAGAGGGAACCGAAATCCGGAAGAGGTAATGGGCAGCGCCCAATCCGCTGCTTCCAATCCTCGCTTCGCGACGGCGAGCAGGTAACTCCACTCCCCTTGTTTTCTTTCCATTGTTTGATCACTTTCCCTCACTGATATAGTGGGTTTTACTGTAAAATAGGGCTTTTACTAAGCAGGAGCTGGAGGATCTTAAATCCCTCTTCGTGTCTCTCGCAGCCCAATCCCAGAGCGACTCCAAGTACATCTCTCCCTCTATTTTTCAGGTAACAGTCCATGCTCCTGTCTTTTTCTTCGTTTCTGTTTTTGCCGTTGCAAACCCTAATGTTGCGTTTTCTGCGAGCATGATAGGCTTTTTTTGGCATCAGTGGACCTCTTGCCAGTAGGTTGTTTGAGTTAGTGAGTCAGAAGAGGAACGATGGCATGGTCACTTACGAAGATCTTGTTATCTCCAAAGTTAGTTTCTTTCTGTCATCCTCCCTGCAGTCTTTGTTGGAAAAAGAAAAACAAATTTATTTTTTATTGATAGCTATAGTCATGCAATTCCCATGTTTGATAGGCTGTTTATGAGAAAGGCACTCGGGATGAGATTGAGGAATTCATTTACGAGTTATGCGATGTCAATGGCGATGGATTCTTGGAAAGGTAGTTATTTATGCATTAGAAGCTTACATAAGTTGCTTCCTGTTTGCAAAATGTTTATTATTCTGCTCAAATTGTTTGATAATACTGAAGCTTTTTGATTTTAGGTTGTAGGGGCCTATTTTCTTCTTGGATTATTGTTACTGGTTTTGCTTATTTTCCACTTGGCAGCTGTTATTTTTTTTCAATGTTATCCTTCAATTTATATTCCTTATATGGAATTCGTTTTTATAGTGTCTTATCATGTTTAAGCTGGTTCTTTTTATAAAATAAAGGTGAGACTGAAGATGAGTGGTAGCAAAATCAATTGAAATCCTAATCGTGAAAGGATAATTTTAGGTGTGATCTGGAAGCTGTTTTGGATTCAATCAGTGATGCTGTTTTTACTCCGAAGAATTCTCAAGCAGCCTTGAGCTCATCAAAGGTTGTTATGAAAGCATTTTTAAGTGCTACAGAATTTTCACACGAAGTTGAAGGAAAAGCTGAGAATTGTATGTCCTTGGCTGATTTTAGAAACTGGTGTAATGTTATACCATCTGCAAGAAAGTACCTTGGAAGTTTGTTGAAGCTTCCAGATACAGGTGCCCTCTTTTTTCTTTGTTCGTGCTTATCATAGATTTAAATTATTTATTTATATTTGACCATTTTGATTTATTTAGAAATTGTGAGTGCTTTAAAATAGGACTTGTTTAATTTAAACCATTTGAGTACCTCACTTTTCTTCTCACTCAATCTCTTTCTTGGTAAATTAGTTGGTAAACTTGGCTCCTATGATGCACAAACATGGACATGGTGACATGGATACGACATGATACGAACACGGGACACGTCAGTTATTGAAAATATAGGACACGAACACGAGTTGGACACGATA